TGGGAGTTGAAGTCCACTCATCTTAAAGTGGCCAAGTTTGGACAACACTGCCTTAGAGGGTACAGAAGATGATCATCTGAGCAAGGGAAGGGTCCTCCTGATGCAGCTGAGCTACCACTTCCAGCAGTCCCAGGCAGAATGGCCAGTGGGGAAGGATGCTGGGAACTGTAGTTCAGAAGCAGCTGGAAGGCTGATGATTCTGCAGCCTTGATGATCAGACACCAACAGAAGAAACCTTGTGGAATCCTTGGGGTTCTCTGAGCTTGGTTCTTTTCTTGCAAACATTTCATTCCCTGGCTAGGTAACATCTTCCGTGCTGCAATGAGATGGGGCTTGCTCTCTGTTTATATACTGTGGCATGCCCTGCCAGTGTTGGTGAAGAAGCCTTGCAGCTAGGGAGACATTCCCTCCCTTGGTGTCTCCCATATGCCAAGCTTCAGGGGCGTACAAGGTGCTGGAAACATTTCCTGGTTCCAGTCATTCCCCAGGGATGGGAGAACAAATGATTCCAAACAGGGGTGAAAAAACCCCATTCTACACACATTCAGGGATGTTTTCCAGTTGCGCAGCTTCCAGGGCCACCCTAGGAAGCAAATGCAGTTTTGAGAACCACCTCCCTGCTGCTGAGTTTTGAATCAAGCTGAATCCCAGTCTGAATTTCTGCAACAGAAGCTATTTTAAAGAGGCACTAGGCCTCTTCTCACTGGCACTGGGTAAGGTTTTCCCTGCCCTGTCTCCCATTCTTCAAGCTACAGTATTGTTCTCTAGGAGGTGTGCCCAGGAATCATTCACATAATAGGTTCAGTCATTGCACTGAGCCTAATAGGGTTGTCTGTAGAGACTCAGATGTTTTTGGTTTGTAAAACATGATTTCTAGATAGCATATTGTATGCATCTAGATCAGTGTTTCTCAACTTTGGCAACTTTAAGATGTCTGGACTTCAACTCCCAGGATTCCCCAGCCAGTTGTAAGAGCAGATGACCTCCTACAGCTGGGCTTGCACATCATGCTAAACCTTGGTTTGCTTGGCCATGGTTTACTGAGTAAGTCAGAATGATCTACATCAGTGTTTCTCAACCTTGGCAACTTTAAGATGTCTGGACTTCAACTCCCAGGATTCCCCAGCCAGTTGTAAGAGCAGATGACCTCCTACAGCTGGGCTTGCACATCATGCTAAACCTTGGTTTGCTTGGCCATGGTTTACTGAGTAAGTCAGAATGATCTACATCAGTGTTTCTCAACCTTGGCAACTTTTAAAAAGCTGTGCATCTACCACCCACAGTTCCCCCTCACGGTTGGGGGGGGGTAGGAGTTGTGAGTCAGGCGCTGTGATAATAGTA